TATCAAGCCCCATTTACATTTATTTGTCATAATAATATCTTAGGCATAGTTGCCTTTTTGCTTTATTTATCTGCCGTTATTTCAATATGGTAAACGTTTTATTCAGTTATATTAGTTTCAGCATCAGCCCCCAAAAATCCACATCAGTTGGGCTGATGGACATGTGGCCATGCGGAACAGTCCTGACCCAGCTGACAACTCTCTTACTCCTGTGACAGTTAAGTGCCAGTATAGCGGTTCGAGTGTATACTGCTACTTAGATATAAAATATTAATAACATTGAGCTATATGCTTCCTATACCACTGTACACCCATACACTTTGTGACTCTTTACACAGCAGCCCCTGTAGGGGGTCTTGACATCGACCGCCTCATCAACCAATCGGCCATGTTTTCTGCTTAAGAGCAGGAGTGGACACATGAGAAGCCTCATAAATCATTCACGTGTTAACAAATCTGTGGTGTTCATTGGCTGAGTGGTCGGGATCAAATGGGCTGAGGCGGGTCGGACATGAGCTTGTTTACCGTCACTGTCACTTGTCAATGTCTAATGTACGATACGCAGCACAACACTTATCTCATGCTATGCATTACAGTCCATTAACCGCAGCAGTACAACGCACTCCCGTTCCCTCCGCAATGTAGATGGCGGCAGGTGTACAGTCACGCAGGCCGCTGTCTTTCAAGTGAGGACGTGGTTTTAAACAAAGGTTCTCAGACTGGCTGCGTAATTCAAGAGCTATGGAAAAAATGCTCTTGAACCACCCATGTTCTTCAGCATCTCTTGCTTTTCCACAGCCCGTGAATACGCGGTGTAGAGTGAACTCCTTCAGCTGTGTGAGTGATCAAGGGGCTGAGGGGAAGAGTGGGACAACTTCTTTCTGAGTCACACACATGCACATATACAGAGCCCACATTGTACCAGACTTTACCAGCTTCATACTGATTGATTGTTTGTGTGTGTGTGTGTGTGTGTGTGTGTTTGTTCATGCATGTGGGTGTCTGTTTATTTCCACGTGTGGTTCTGTGCATACCTACCTAAATGTGTGGTCGTCTCTTTTTTGTGTGTGTACGTGCTCTCTCCTTTCCAGTTCGAGGGCTGTAACAAAGCGTTCTCACGTCTGGAGAACCTGAAGATCCACCTGCGGAGCCACACAGGAGAGAAGCCGTACCTGTGCCAGCACCCCGGCTGCCAGAAAGCTTTCAGCAACTCCAGCGACCGGGCCAAGCATCAGCGCACTCACCTGGACACGGTCAGAAACCAAGTCTCTGCTCTGTCTCACTTTCTCTTTCTCCCGATGTTTCACCATAGATTAATGTTTAACATTTCCCAGGCCAACACTTGAAATAGTCTGGGTGGTCACAGAAAAGAGTTGCGAAAAGAATGGCTGCATGAAATTATAGACTGTAAATGTTTAGTTCTGTAAAATCCATTTAGGGATTATATTTTCTGCAAATTACAAAAAAAAAAAAGTGGAATAAGTGGAATTGACCGTCAACTCACACTCCACCCCTCCTCTGCTTATACACCAAAAAACTGCAGCCATCGAAGCCTCAGTGCTTATTTCCACATCTTTACAGTGTTAGACTTAAGTTTTCTGTCAGTCCCTGAGTGGTGGGGCATTCTTGCTCCCTCAGCACTGGCAGTGACATAAATGATCAGTTCCATTAGGCCGAGTCACAGCTCTCAGGCTGTAACAGACTTCTGAGCTCAGACAGAGCTTCTCCTGTTTGTCTAACCTGAGGAAAGGTTGAGTCAGCCATCGCCGTCCCTCCTCACGTCTCAGTAGCCTCAACCAATATCTCACTTTATCACCACCTGCAGGCCAACACAGCCCTGCAGTAAATATGTTGTTTTGCTCAAATTATGAAGTCAACAGTTGAGACATGAGGTTTTTTAAAAAATGATTTCCGATTTATATGACACTACACAAATCTAAATGGGTCCTGATGATATTTTGATTTATTTTCACCCTATGTATTTATTATAAACCACAGATTTAGAAATCAGTGTCATTATGTTGAAGTAAGATGATCATTTAACAAGTCAAAACATTTAATCATTTGGTGAAATAGGTTTTTAAGTCCAGAATTCAGAGTAAATACTTTTTGCTCTGTTGCCATAAAGTCATATGCGACATGGGAGAAAGAAGAATCCTTGCTTAACAATCACACATGCTATTGGTGCCATATTGACATCTCTAGTTCACAAAACTCCTCATCTCTGAATATTTATCACTGGAAAAAAAAATAATAATTTCGATGAATTGGTAAAAATTTCTTTTCCAGTATTAAATGTCTCAAAAACTGTTAATTACTTTTAACTTGTGTGCAGCTGTTTTTTTTATATTCTCTCACAGTAGTTGCTTCTCCTAAGGTAAGAGAAAAAGAGAAAAAGGAAGTGTTACAGCGACCGAAAAGGAAAAAGGGGAAAGATTAATGATTTGTTATTTTTTTCTGTGTCCTTTTCCATCTCTCATCAAGCAAATAGGCTAAGTTTATAATAATGTGGTTTACTAACTGAATTTTATAGATTTCATAAATCATGACTCGAGCAACCTCAGCCATACAGTATAACTACTGTAAGAGAATATTGTCATCTGCTTAAGTGCCACTGGATTCTACTGGATTCTAAGTTTGTTGAGGGAGTGGTGGCAATGTCTTTAACAAGTACTAATTGCTCAGGTGAAAACGAAAAAAAAATGTTTTAATAGAGAATTGTTTTAGATGGTGGAAACTACTTTCTATATCTCAGGTGGCTCTCATGGATTCAACTTTGACACTGCTCCACATAAAAGGAATCTTGTAGCAAGGGTCAGATTTTTTTTAAAGCGGTAAACCCTTAAATTTACCACTTTTTTAATGAATTGAAAAAGAAATTTATTTTAGTAGTACTTTTATAATACCTGTATTACCAGAATATTTTCCCCCAGTGTTTCTGTATTGGCCAGCTACCAATGTGTTTTGGTTTTTGGACAAGTAAATCATTCTTTCGTGTTTATCCAAGTAGAAATTTCAATGCGGACCTGTGTTTTTCTATCAGTTAGGGATTTTCTTCCACCACCCACTCTTTCCACAGTAGGACAAATGATACAGCTAATCGGGGACCCCGATGCTTATGGCTTCACATTAACACCCTGCTAAGGCCTTCGCGGTTCCTGCCCAGCTGCCTGCGCTGCCAAAAACACTTTGGGGGAAATCATTTTCAAGCTTTAATGATATTTATTCTACACAGAAGTTGTGCTTGATTTTTTTTTTTTTTTTTCGGCGCTGTATTGGGTGCATGCTTGGCAAAACAAACATGGCAGAGATGAGTGGCACTGTAAGCACCCTGGAATAACAATGGATTATTTACAGAGGAGGTTGAGGTATGGAGGCCGAGCTAATAAAGACACATATCCCCTTACGCTTTAATGGGAAACTTATATTCCTGAGGATGAAAAAAAAAGTGCCTCAAGCAGGAAAAATCCTTCAATCAGTGAGCTCCATGCTTTATTTGCTTGGTAAATGAGAGGAATGTGAAATGATGAGGAAACTCCATGACAGTGCAGTCGTTCTACAGATGTTCTGTTACACTAATCTGCCTGAATCTCCGTCTTTACAGCCATGTCAGCAAGCAGTGAATCACCACTGAACAGCTTTGATCAAATATGACTGCTCAACAATATGCAATGTCTTTTCACATGAAATTTCACATGATCTATTTATTAGTCATACAGACACAATACAGAAAGTATAGCACAGTCAAACACATCAACATGTCTGTTGTTCAGTATGTTTTTGCCCCCTGTCCATTTGTTGGTGTGTTTGTTTGTTAGAAAGTTTATGCAGAAATTACCAGATGGATTCCCAAGAAGATTGTTTGAAGGATGCAGTTGAGTCGGGGATTAATCAGGGGAATCCATTTTAGTGTGAATCTGGATCAGGGAATAATTCATCAATTGTGATGAAATCAGGCAAATTTAGGGACCTTATTTTTATTGAGTGTGTGAAATTGGGTGCAGCTTGATTCTATTTAAGGGGACTGTTGGGCCTTGGTGGAGCTATGTCTTCTACTGAGTGACATTCCAGTTTAGTTCTTAAAACTTAAGAGCCAATTCAGCATCTTGCAGTTTTAATGTTATTTGTGTGGATTCATTCCTGCAGAGAGGTAAAACAGAACAGACCATTCAGCTTTAAAGTCCTAGAAAACCAACACAATTCTGTCGTTTTAAGATAATTTCGTGTTTCAATACTTTATTTCAATACAACTGATTGTTTGTCTCGTCTTTTCATCCCTTTTCTGCTCTTCCTCTTCTCTCTTCCTTCAAACAATGTGTTTTTCTCAGCTGAAAGGTAGGACTTGACCTTTGCCTTTACTTCAACAAATTTCAAACTTACTGTATAATGATTTTCCTCCTTCATTTTTTTCCCTATGAGCTCTTTAATATCTGCCCTGTTTGTCCTCTGTTGATGCTTCTCTTAAAATAAAGTAATTTCAAATGTATTACAACTGATGTGAAATGTTTTTCTCTCTCCTCATAGAAACCGTATGCGTGTCAGATCCCCGGCTGCACCAAACGTTACACAGATCCCAGCTCGCTACGCAAACACGTCAAAATCCACTCAGCCAAAGAGCAACAGGTGCGTAGGAAGGTAAGATACTCTGTGAAGAGTGGGAGGGCAAAGTCAAGAAAAACCTTAATGAACCTATAGTGTTATGAAGTCAAAAAAGAAATAAAGTCCAAGAAAGAACCAAAAATTGTCTCAAATGACATTTATTGTTTTCTTATTTTTGAGCATTAAATAAAATAAATTGAAAGTTATCTAAAGACAAACTTGAAGTCCACAGTAAATCAATTAAATGTTGTGATTAAAGAAGAAGAATACAATCTTTTATGGTTTATGTTGCATCAAAGTAATTCTCATGGTCTCTCATGTGTATGGGTGGTTAAAACACATCTGTAACAGTAAACCCTGCTCAGCAGCTACCGTGCATTTTTTTCTTGGTGAACTTCCAGAATGACCTTATTCCAGTCATTACGGCAGAGCGGCAGGTTTTTACAAACACACCACTTCATGTAATCTATCCTGTTCTGATCTGTATTATCCACAGATCTATCTGGTTGGTTTAATTTCAGGGTTGGGAGGCCCAGGGGCCGGACTCAGAGGGTTGTCTCTGAGAATCGTTTCCCCACAATAGATCAGGTTAGACCACATTTCATCATGTTCATGGTCAAAAGCTCATTCTTTCCCTGACTGGAAGTGGGTAAATAACTGAGAGAATGGGCTCATTGTTGTGGAAGGGGCTGGATAGTGGCAGGGTGGATGATGTGTTCTTTTGCTTTAGCGTCGTAAAGGGAAACACATGTGCGCTTGTAGCATTGTTAATAAGCTGTAGTGCGGAATACCCCAATGACCAGATGTTATGGACAAATGTCAAACAAATGCTCTTACTCCACTCTTGGAGCCGGCCCGGAGAAAAACTGTTAGGAGTGTCACTGTGGGGAAAAAACAGAGCCCCGGTTACATTTGACAAATGTTTTGCAGGGCACTCGTCAGGCTCTCCCTGGAGGACACACAAACACACACACACATGGACATAGAGTATCTACGTATGAAATCATAACATGGAGGATGCCAGCAAAGTTGGAAAGTGCCATCATTTGTGTTTTCAGCAAATGAGAAAGCAGAAGTTGTTATCTGTCCACTTGGCTCATTGCTGTCAATTAACTCTACGAAAGAAAGATACACAGGAACAAAGACAGACTCATAGAAAGGAAGGGTTGGGCTGATGATGGATAGAAAAACATGTGGTTGACAGCTCTGACATTTAGTCGTGTTTAACTGGAGCCATTTCTCTGAATGATGCACTCGACTTGTTCTGGTCAAAATGACTCAGCGCAGCACTGCCAGGTTTTTATGCCTCCTGGAGCCATAAAGTTTTCACCTCTTACTGTTATACACCACTAAAAAATATGTATTCATGATGATAGTTAATATCACAGCATGATGACGAAAACAAAATATGATGTAGGTTTGGTTCATATTTTTTTATTTTCTGGTTGATTGAACAAACTTATATTGGATTCAGATCCAGCTCAATTGTTCAAACTAATTTTTATATACATTTTTACAATTTTGGATTGATTTTATTTATTTACTATCTATCTTTAGTTTTTAACCATCCCATATTGGGATAAAATATTCCATTCAATTTTATTTTATTTGTATAAAGCGCCAAATCATAATATACATTATCTCAAGGCAGTTTACATAGTAAGGCCTAGACTAAAACACAGGAGCATGGTCAAAAAAAGAACATGTATGGAGACATATTTTTTTAATTTTAGCCACAGATTCCTATCTGTGGCTAAAATTCTTGAGGGTTAAGGGCAGAGGATGTCACACCTTGTTAAACCCTATGAGACAAATTGTGATTTGTGAATATGGGCTATACAAATAAAATTTGATTTGTTGATCTGTTCTATGGAAACTGATAAACAGGATAAATGTATTTTATTGATAAAGCACAATATTAACGAATATATTGTTCTAATACATTCAACATTTTTCTCATAGGAATTACTGTAGTTTTTACTAAATTTTTATACAATAATATAGCTCCTGTCAGAACTCTTCTGAAGTCTGGATATTTTCTGGAAATATTTCGCAGGGTATGTATGGAGCTCATTTGCTCCATTTTCTAAAAACTTTTCTGTCAGTAAAATGTCCAATTGAGCCCATGTGAGGATAAAGCAGGAGTGAGGGGGGGTGTTGAAAACTGGAACAAAACAAATCTCATTTTTCGACTCTTTGTCTACAACACTAGTGTGAACTGTTTAAAACTTGTCAGTGGGATTTATTTATTGTTGATATTGTGTTCATGTGATTTGTTGATTTATGCTTCAACTCACCAATGAAGAGTTCTGAGTAGATATTTGTTTTTCCATTACTCGATGTCACTCATAACTCATAACTCAATGTCACTCCACTCAGTTTTAAATTCTGACTGTGGCCCTGTTTCATTTCACACTCTCAGTTTAAAATCACTTCCTTTCTTTCCCACTTCAGATTTTAAGCTATACCTCTATCCTGATCCCTGTGTTGGTTCCTCAGGATGTTGTTAAGGTAGATCTCCTGAGGAAAGAACAAGATGTTTGTGCTGTCCGAGTGTGCACCACAGCAACTATAACATTTTATTACAGTGAAATCCACTGATGTATACAACAGAACTCAGCTGTTGTGCTGATCCATAAAGCAGATGTCCCATTTCACCAACTGACTGAGTTTCCTTAAGGTTTAGGTTTCTTCTTTGTGCCGTGTAAAGGACTATGAGGCTGAAATGTGTCTTCAGTTGCCCTCATTACTGTGGGCAGCGAGAGAAACAGAAGCAACCTCACATTGGCTCTGATTTGATGCAGTAATCACTTCGCCACAATGTCCAAGGCCAACGAATGACTTTAAAAGCAGCATGTGATCTGTCCTCTGGGTCCCCCTGACTTACGATGTCCTCTCATTTGCTGAGTTACTGTTTCATATTAACATCATAATCACATTACTGCACAAAGAGAAAACATACCCCACATAGGCTCCAACCTACAAAATAAACTGAAGCTGCGTTTGGTTCTTCGGTTGCGTAATCTTGTGGGGCAGATGGGAGTTTTCTCTCTCAGTGACTCATCATGATTTATCTAATGGTTCTTTGTTTTTTTCCGATCTTTGTGACTGACAGCTTCGGCCCTGCCCTCACCTGGAGCAGGACGTCCTGAGTGAGTGTTTGTCCATGCAGCACCTTCAGAGCTCCACCTCCTCACAGCACCTCTACAATGGCAAAGATGGTCGTTCTCCGGGAATGGGCCAAGACATCTTCACAGGTGCACACAGGACACTGCTCAGTCACACAACACCCTGCTTATGTTGCCTTATGGTACATTAAGTAATGCAATCCCTCTGCTTGCACTAGAAACATAGGCTGCAAGTCTCTTTATCTTTCCTCATAGTACACGCCAGGAGACTATTATCACCTCAGTGTTTTCACTCCTGTTAATCTGTTGGTTGATGTGTTGGTAAGCAAGATCCCACAAAAACATTTCAATTCAATTTTATACAGGGAAGACACGATTACATTTTCAGGGGTCGGATCCAGAATTTGCTTTTACTTACTTTTAGGGCACTTTTCCACATTTTCATGGATCTTGAGGAAAGAAAAAATCAGGCACATTTAGGGAACCGATATCGATGAGTGGGTGAAATTCGGTGCAGCTTGATTGAAGCGTTGGGCCTTGATGGAGGGATGTGCTGTACTGTGTGCCATTCTTGTTTGGTCAAGTTTTGTGACAGGATGGCACATGGGCCAAGAAAGACAAAGGGGTGGATCCTTTTTAGAGGTGTGATATCTATGACTGTGTGCAGATCCAAATAAAAATCTGGATCTTGCAGATTTAAATGTGGTTTCATCTTTTTTATTAGTCGCTGTACTGAAAGAATTATGGCTAGAAAGCTTTAGCCCCACAGCAAGAAAGTTTCTTTTTCGAATCCCAGTTTGAATCCACTCTGTGTGGAGTTTGCATGTTCTCCCCATGTTGGCGTGGGTTTTCTCTGGGTACTCTGTATGTTGACCCTGTGATACGCTGAGGATGTGTCCAAGGTGTGCCCCGCCTCTTGCCCAATATCAGCTGGGATTGGCTCCAGCCCCAATGAGAGCCCCAAAGGATCAGTGGTATAGACAATGGATGGATGACTTAAGCTTTAAGGCTTGCAAGAATTTGTTGGAGGAATTCACTCTATTCAATTCAATTCAATTCAATTTTATTTGTATAGCACCAAATCATAATATACATTATCTCAAGGCACTTTACATAGAAGGTCAAGGCCTAAAAATCTTATTAATATAGAGAAACCCAACAGTTCCCCAGTTACTCTACTGAGAACCATTCTAGTATCTGTGAGAATTCAACAGAAAAATCACTTCAACAAGAAATTCCTCCTAATGATTTGGTCTTTGGCTTGAATGCATCATGTCATATGACACTGATAGTAGCTCTATCCTCCATGGTTAATTCACAATGTGAGAGGAAGGGACCGGCTGTATCTCAGAATATCGATGGCCGGGGAATATTTGTTCCAAAACAGAAGAACAGGCCTGCAAGTGAGGCCTGACCGCCAGAATCCAAGACACCTGGTAGAGCAATCATCAAGTCATCGCTGATAATCAACAGCTATGTGAACTGTCCTGCAGATGTATTATGTTAATTCTGTGTTTTCCGGCTGTAAAAATCATACTCCCGAAGCATTTGGTGATACTAAAATATAAAATCATTTTGAAAGCACTTGGTTATTTAAGTGTTACCATCTTGTGCTTTTGTTGGTTAGGTTTGTATGGCAGAGCCACATCATGTTAACCTGTCATCTTGTCATGCAAAGGCTGCAAAATCCATTAGCAACAGCAACAAACATTAACTTTTACTCGTCACATGTGGCTTTTAAACTTTCCATTTTTCTAATTGATGAATTTGACCATCACCAAAAGTCAACACCACATTGGATTGGAAACAAGAGGGAGATAAATAGATTATAAAAATCTTAAAGACAAGAGAGATGCCCCGTGGCTTCCTCACTTTATGGACACATCTGTCCTTGTTTTCTTCCTGTACCCCGTCCAGGCTCCCCGTTGCTCTCTGTTATTGTTGCTGGAACTCTGCGCACCGTTGACAACTGTGAATGCTCAACTTGTCTTTGATTGTCGGGCCGAGCCTCTGAGTCTTGGCTTTTTACCCTCAGCCTCCCTCTGTTTCTGAGTGGATGTTACTTACTCTCTTGTTTTAAAGGGTTTCAAAGCCCCCGGGAAGCTCGCTCACAAGCTGACGCCAAAGCGTTCAAGGACACTGTGCTATTCAAGGACCGGCGAAAGGTGTCGCAGGTTGGATCTCCATTTAACACGAGTTTCACTTTGTTCTGGGGCCAATAGGATGCTTGGAAGGGGGTGGAGCAAAGTGGGCAGCCATCCCATCATTAACACTTGTGGAGCAGAAAATGAGTCATGCTTCCAGTCAGAGCTGAATTTGTTTTCCTGTTCACTGGTTATAAGTCTACTCTTATTAACATGGCTGCAGCGAGACTTACGAGAAGCCCCTCTCTGTTTTATAGAGCGTAATTAGAGTGTTTGCTGATTACCCAGAGGAAGTACTCATCATAGTTTTAATGCAGAGGTTTACATGCTCCTGCTGTTATGCTGACTGATGGATTTGATATAACTCTCCATCTCCTTCTCACACAGAACTTGTTAGTTATTTCCTGAACGCCACCAGAAGCTTTTTCCACAACATCTTCACAACATAATGATCCACTAACTCGTAAAGAGCGCCATCAGATCCCCTCCGTCTCCCTCTGCGAGGAACCGGCGATGAAATTGAGGCAATCACAGCCATTATTTGTCGACTGTTTTGCCGCTCTGGTAGCAGATGTTGGGGCTAAAGGGGAAAACATTTAAGGTCTCTGACTGATGATTTGGGGGTAATGAATCAAGCTTGTAACCATTTCGGAGCGCTGTCAGATCAGGCCTCGGCATGCTTCCACTTGAGAACAGCTGGGGCCTGGAAACGGCAAAACCAGGAGCGCCGATCTTTCCTCTATCTTTTCATCTCTTCTTGTCCGCTCCTCTCGTTACTGGTTAACTACACCAGACAGTCAGCGCACGGCTGTCCTCGAGGATGCTGGGAAAGAAATCAGGCGATAAACGAAGTGGAAGATGGAGGGAGAAGATTTACTGTGTTGGGAGAACAACTGGGGATCACGTTCAGTTTCTATGTGTTTAGTTCTTTAATGAATTAGTCTTTCCCTTTGGAGCAACATTTTTATATGATGATAGAATGAAACCACAGGAAAAACGTAAGGTTTGAAAAGATCACAAGCAGTGCAGCATATTCACGCAGTGGAATGTCCAAGTAGAACAAAAATGACAAACATTTTCTGGTTGGAACATTTCATATGTGAAGATTTACTGCTTTTTTTGTGTTACATTGTTGTGAAATGAATGCATTTGGTTTTAATGTTGGTGGTTGGACAAAACAAGCAGCTTTAAGACGTCACTGTGGGCTTTAGGAACTTTGGGACGGGCATATTTCATTAAAAATGGAAAAATAAAAACAAATAAAACATGAATCAATAATCACTATCATTAGTTGCAGCCCTAGCGGCCCAGGGCATTCTGGTTAAGAATAATGGATCCGTGTTTAATCATAGTTTGCAGCTTGAAACAGTAGAGAAAGTTGGCAGCATGCAGCCAGCATGAGTAGAAAATAATGGCCCCCCACAGAAAACTGCATCAACAAAATATTAATCAAATGTAGTTTTGAAAAAGTTAGAGATGGAATAGCGAAAGACATATTGGAGATTTTGGAACAGAGTCATAAACCAATTTTATTCTCTTCTGAACATTTCCAGCAGCGAGTCAGATAAAATCATACTGATACAGTACAATGCACATGTAGACATGCACACGCTGCACTGCTTCACATATACTGTACCCTCACAGCTCTACATACGCTTGCAAGAACTCGCGTAACCATGACAGGCAAACATACACAAAACAGAGGTTATCCTGTAACATCATTCTGCTTTTTAACTGCCCTACTGCTCACAGTTACAGTTCAAACACATGTAACATTTTAGTTTATTATTGTGTAATGAGAACAAAAAGCTCAAAGGACAAACAAGGCCAATCCCTGTGGCAGCACAAACAATGTACCCTAAATTACAGACAGCGCAAACACAGAGCGTTTGAGTTTAGGGAGCTCTCTGATTGGATGAAGGTTGTCAAAACATTTTTAAAAATCCCGTTGTCATGACGAAGCTTTTGATTTGCTCAAAGGAAAGATGGAGTGCAGGGCCCTCGGGTTTATTTGGCACATTTACTGAATTAGCTTTGTTTGTCTTTCAGGCCTGTACACTGGCTCCAGCACCCCCCATCACAGCGCCTCGGTAGAGCTTCTCTCCCCTAACCCCAACCCTGTCTCCGCCACCGACCTGCCCTCCAGACAACACCGGCTAGACCGCGACCTCGGGAGCCCTCATCACCTGTCCCCGCTGACCGCCATGGACGGCACGAGAGACGGGTGAGTGCTCAGTGGATCTGTTCCGATGACGGATCATTCTTAGTTTAAAACTCGTAGGGAAATAATAAATGTTTCTGCAGGGCATTGAAATTTAACATCAAATTTTAAGTCACATGACCAAAATTTTTTCAAATGGTCTTCTGCAGTAAGTTCAGATATGTAATATAAAGTCATGTGACAGCACACTGTGGTGAGGTAAGACTTTTCTAGCTTAAGCTACTTAAACCCTCAGTGGACACAAAACTTTTTTTTGCATTTACTGCTAAGAACACTACACTCTTTGTGTGTATTTATCCTCACAATACACAAAGGTCAGCATTTTAGCGAAACACAAACTTCCTTCTCAGTGCAGCATCACCCTGATATTATCATTATGATCACATTTTCAGCCCTTGTTTCCATTGTTTTTCACCTATTTATTATCCTGAGTCGGGGACGAACCGCTGGGCGAACCCACTTAGCTCATGTTAGGTTAAGCCTCTCTGTCCTGCTGACAAACCTATCTGGCAGTCTTACTGGAAACAAACTCAGCTCCCCGACCCCTGAGACAAGCCTCATGGGAGGAGGGGCTGTGCTGGTCACCGCGGGGTCAACGTGACACATCACCAGCCATATTTCTGGCACCAGAATCAGTGTTCATAAGGTCCCTCATCTCTACTGGATACAACAGCATCAGCACTATGACCAAACCGCTTGGCCGGACATGATTCACACTTTAATGAGAGTAAAGTGTCAAAGCTGCGTGATAGTATCATCCTGTGGTGTTTGTGTTGTGAGTCGTTTTACCCTCATAGGACAAGAGTCAACAGAAAGAGAAAGAAATATAAAAGTATTTTGAACAGATGTACTGTAGGTAATCATATACTCCATTAGACACATAAACAAAAATGAAATACAAGAAACTATAACATTTAAAAAGATGATGTATCACCCAGATAATTGTGAGAAGTATCTGGGGATACTTTTAAAAAGAAAGCTGTAACATTTAGGATGATTTACTAAGTGTGCCACTGTTGTTACATCTTCAGCGAAGAAGAAAACATGTTTATATTCAATGGACTAACTAGAATGAATGAATTAACTCTGCTGAAACCTGTTTCTACAAAGCTGACTCTTACATTAGATACCGACAGTTTGAAAATCTGCAAGTTGTAGAGGTGCGACTGCCTTGCTTGGTGACACTTCAGCAGGGACGAACGTGTGCGTGAGAGGCACAGAATGTTTCCTATTAGCGCCGATGATTTCCCCAGAGAGCCAGCGGAGCGGAGTTAGAGCCCGAGTGTCGTCAGGAGGCAACTGTGTGTACTGTGCTAAACAATGTGCCGAAAACCAGGGAGGTAGTGAAGGAAAACAGCCTTTTACAGTTTAATAACATTGAGAAAGAGTGGACGGAATCGAGCATCATAAAGCGTGTGTTACAACAGTGATCGTGTTACATAAACATGCTTTCCTTTCTCTGTGGTCTGCTCTTTGGGTGTCTGCGTGTGTATATACACTTTTATGGGAGTATATACAGCACAGACGTATGACACAATGAGGTTTGATGGCTTTCTTGCTCTGAGAGTGCACTCATTCGTACTCATGTGTGTCTCCGTGTGTGGGAGTGTGTGTGAGTGAGAGGAGTTTACATATAGTAATCCAGGAAACACACATGATTGCATGTGATTGGGGTGTGAGGCACAGCAGAGCGGTCGACTTCCAGCACAAACAGTGCACCGGTTGCCCTGTCGCAGTTTAAACCGTGTGGATGTAAACGTCCGAGTGCCGCCCTGAGACGTCAGGTCGGCCTCTGGAAGCATCTGGAAGGTGATGTGTTGTTCCAAGCCTTGAAAACCGGAGAACGCTGTTGAAATTACCTCGTGGTTTCAGTGCCTCTCTCTCAGCAGCATTCACAATTACCTTAGTAGGGACAGAAATGGAAAGTGAAAAGAACCTGAGTAGGGGGATGCTGTAAGAGCTTGTACATGGGCGGGGGACATATTGAATGTGAGACGTGGGTCTGTTCCTTTAGGTTTGACGTGTGTGTGTGTGTGTGTGTGTGTGTGTGTGTCTAAATTTCTAACCTAACAGCCCATTATGCCAAATATGTCATCTCCCTTGTTCATGTATATATTTGACTCTCCACCTTAACCTCCCTCATACAACTACAGCAATTTCCAAATTTACAGATTTCATCGAACCAAGATGTTTGACCCGAAAGCGGCCATGAGCGCACATGCACACACACACACACACACACACACACACACACACTGTAGTGCTCTATCCGTTCATCGTACCATATGGACAGAGGGTGGGGGCTGGCTGTGGAAGGACCTAGAACTAGTCGGGCATGAAACGTCTACTTACATTTGCCTGAAGATGGAGCATTTGATTTACATGTTTAAGGCGTTGAGTATACAGGCTGCTGCCAAAGTCAATATCAGCGCCGCACTTGTTTTTCCCAAACGGTTTAGCAGGACATTAAACATTTTGACAAAATTATCAAACTGACCTGCCTCTCGTGCGGCAGCCGCTGACCTCATGGCTAAATGTGTTTACTCTGACTCAAATGGGCCATTTAGACTCTTTTGACTTTGTAAATAGCAGTGTCATTTTTCTGAAGCTAATATTAAATTATATCAAGTAAAATACATTTGGTGATTGGTGTGGCACGTGTATGTGTAGGGCCTCCCTCTCATAGAGATGGTTGTTCATCTACGGTGGCCTGTGCTCTTCAGAGAGATGGGTGGTAAATGTTGTCATTCACTGCTTTGGCCATATGTGGTTATATAATTGCAGAGGGGAGTCTCTACGGCCTTTACCCAGGTATTGATATTAGACCCCCTCTGCAAATATTATATATACTGAGTTGGTTTGATACCTTGGCAATGATTGACATGGGCTAATTTAATTAGAGTGACAGCAGAGACGGCACAGAGCTACATTAAGAGTCCCTGAACTGATGGGGGACGTCCACGTTCTTGTAACTCTACACTGTCTGTCTTCATGCCATTATCATTCTCGAGTGATCCAGAAAATGAGTGTCGATCTCAGAACCTAAACAAAAACATTTTTGAGGTAGTCGCTCATGGCGGAATGTGGGCAGTCGCTCATTTTGTGGTGCTCAGTTAATAGCATGTAGTCTTCAATTAACAAGTCTACGCAAACACTTTAATCATGGGACAAAAATCTGATTATTTACTGTCAAAATTCCTCTAGAAAGGATGGTGATTAAGGACGGATCCTCTGTGTTTGGTGTATCTTATCTTTCAGAGAGTATCCAGGGCCCCAAAAATATTCTCCAACCCTAGCTGTGCTCTTCACACTGCGGGGCCTGCAGGGCTGGCTTAGCTTTAGCTTAGCTTTAGCCAGGATGCTGTAGTCTGTCTCACAAGCAAAGCTTGTGCTTGCTAACCAGAACCAGAAGCGTTCCCACCGATCAGCGCCAAAGAAGCCCCCGTCATCCATCAGCAGGGCTTACTGGTCGGCTACAGGGGGGGGAAGATGAGAGGGCAGGCGGAGGGTGTTTGTAGGGAATGTAGGGTCTGCAGAGGACAGGGTCTGATCCCTGCTCCCTGGTGGGACAGTTAGCTGCAGGTGAAGGAAGACAAACGAGGAGCAGAGCAGGACTGTTCATGAATCTTCAGGTTTTCTTTCCATCCCGTCATGCCTCCGCAAACAGAGCCAAGACTGCAAAGGCAGTCCCCTTTAAAATCAATAAGTCGTAATGTTTCTGGACAATAGCTGCACTCCTGTAGTGATGACGTCCATGTTCCACATACCTGAATACGAGTCGTTTTGTCTGGACTTGTGTGGCTCTGGGGCAGCATCAGACAGGCCAGGTTGGAATGTCCTCTTCATCTTCTTCTTGTAGCGTTCTGTAGGGCTGGAGTTAAGCCAACAACTTCAGAGTAAAACCAAAGCTCATTCCCAGAATGACATCAGCTTTCCCATATTACTCACAGAAAAATTCTCAGAGCTGCTCAAGTCGAACTCACCAAGCTGGTGTCGACTGGAGTGAGCGACGGGCGAGGTCTCATAACCTTTCAGCTCCTCAGGCCTTTAAAAAAGACCTCACATTAACATCTCACAAGTCCGACAAAAGAAGTCAGTATATTTTACATCTTTCTCTCTCTCTCTTTCTCTTCTCTCTCTCTCTCTCTCTCTCTCTCTCTCTCTCTCTCTCTCTCTCTCTCTCTCTCTCTCCCTCCCTCCCTCCCTAACCTAATGACCTTATCTGTATTTATGAAATACAGGCCATCAATCCGATGGCCTCACCTTAAATTCCCCTCCAGCTCTACCTTCAGGAATCAACAGGTCAATGGTCAAACCGCTCTCAATGCAGCGGAACAAAAGTGGGTGGGCTAGCTGGAAAAAGAAGAGAATGCAGGATGGTCAGTGAAGATGAATATCGCAGGAGAGATTAATGTGGCATTTGATAGATTCCCCTCATACCTCAAACTCTAGCAACTAGCGAGCTAGAGAGCTAGAGAGCAGGGGCAGCTGGCAGTGATTAGCTTATGATTCACTTTAGTTGCACATAGAGGCAGCTCGTAAAAATATGAACAGTATAACTGTTTCCCGAGTTTGTGCTGACAGCAGCTCCTGGGGGAACGGTGCTCTCCACAGGAACACATGGCCATGCTCTGGGCCTATGCCAACCTGTGGATTAGACACGCTCGCTAACAGCGAGCTTCTCCAGTGTTGAACTAAGACATGGTGTCACACAAGCCTCTTCAATTTTGTCGGCACAGACATGTAGGTCAAGTGTAGTCCATATACTGTTAAATCTGATACCGATTTGAACATTTACACAATGACAAGAAGGGTCTTAGTAAAAACCTCCAGATAACCCTCCCATTTAATGTTACTTTTAAGGTATCAGCTCTATCTCCGAAATTTAAATGGTTTACATTGGCTAATCCTGCAACCTTGGGATTTGGAAAGTCCCTCATTTTGTTTATGTCAAAGTTATAATGAAAGGTGGATAAAGTGTTCAGATCTTTTACTCCGGGGAAAATCAAGTTTATAACATGTTAACAGGTGTTGTGGCTTTTATGTGATAAAATGACTGAATCTTACACACTGAACCTTTAAGTAGAGTATGAGCTGATACATTTTCTACTTTATATACTTTTGGGTTGTTTAGAATAATGTACCACATTTTGTCGACTGATTATTTGTTTTTTATGTAAAATCTGCAACTAGTATAGTTGTCAAAGTAAAAGTACAAAATTTGTAGTTAAAGAAGTAATAAAAGTAAAAAAGTGGAAATATTCAAGTTAAGCACAAGAATATACAATTACTTAGGTACTTTCCATATGATGGGAATCCCAGGTTACTGCCAAAATACAGACACATGTTTATAGACTCAAGGATTATCTCTCCACTAGACTTCAGGGTAGATCGGTTGACGTGACAAGCAAACAGAAGCAAGAACACAACATCCTATTGAGGCAATAAAAGACTTAATGCCAGAGTTCATTTTGTATTAGTTTTTTGATGACCTCCACTGATAAAAGCAAAACATGTGCAGCCTCAAGCTGCGTCTTGTAGCTAATTAAACTGTAAAATAAATATAGCAGCATTTTGCATTTTTCGTTTGACATTGTTTAGCATCTCCTTTCATCGCTCACTCTCTGCCAAAAGCCACCTCAGTCACTGAGTGGGGGCGACCCTCGTGCACGGAGCAGTAGGTCATATCGCAGCCTCCAGCCAGACCAGAAACCAGCAGTATGCTGATGGGCTCGGCCACCTCCAGCAACACTCTGTCATCACGTTCATATAGCGCTGTCTGCAAACCATATGCTTCCACACAGAAACACAGCAGCAGCAGTTTATGTGTTGGCATTCCTGATATGCAGTCGTGAGAGGGTAGTAAGTAGCTGCTGAATATTTGGAGGGAGGTGATTGGCCGGCTCTGTTTTTAAAGGCAGGTCTGTTCGATATCAGTCTTTTATCACGTTGTTGTTTCGTTAAGTTAATGTCAAGCGTTCAACATGAAGTCATTAAACTGTTAGTCCATTTGAGTTTCCTGTTAAATTTCACATCTAACATTTAAGTGTGTGAATAATTACCAGATGTGGTAAGAGAATAGTTTGACATGTTTAGTAAATATACCTGTTTGTTTTCTTGCTGAAAGTTTGATGAGAAGATTGATACCACACTGCATGATAAAAAGAGGCCAGTTAGCTTAGCATTAATTCTGGAAACAGGGAAGCAGCTAGCCTGGCTTTGTCCAAACCGGTGATAACATTTCTAAACATGACTAATTAACACGCCATATCTCCAAACATCCTGTTAATGTTACATTTTGGTTGAGACTGCAGCAAAGAGAAGAAGTAACTTTCACATAAATGTTCCTCAGGACACATGAGGCGTGCATCTTTCAGTCATGACGTATTCATACAAATGTGAGGAAAAACATTCCTCACAGCGATGCCATCTTGATAGCAGCATACTTTTCATGTCAGACGATAGGATGTCATGCAGAACTTATTCTCTGATAATAATGAAAGCTTCTGCACAAGCTCAATGAACCGTGTCTCAGAGGATACAATTCCTTCTGCAGGTTTTTTAAGCGTGGGTCATTTGAACTATGATGCTAAGTGGCAGAAATACATCTGCTGCTATGATCATAACTTATATTTGCCTTTAAACCATAGAGATCTCCCAAATGAGATCACCCTCATCCACAGTGAATCTTTAGGAGCTGAGACTGAACACAAGTCCACAGTATGCTTAAATTAATAAATAAATACAAATAATCAGTAACAGTTCTTCATTAAAATATCGACCTCTTATATATTTCGTTTTCTTGTGTATTTACATTATCCAAAATGAGTCCGACAATGTTCAAACCCAGAGAAATCACTAACTTATCTAAGGTAACTGGGTTCATTGGTTGCAATTTAAATGCATCATAGAAGCTTTGGTGTGGCTTTGTTCATATCTGCTGTAACTTCCAGGACAAACAACATATGACAAATGAAAAACACTGATAGCCAGTCAGCAGTTTTTTCCTCCCACTGTTTGCAATGAATCATGACTATTCATTGCTGTTTGCTGCGTAACGTGAATAGAACTTTAATACATTTCCTCATCCACTAACAGGTAGAGTTTCAATGGCAATGTCAGTGAAAACAACAACTCCCATAATCCAATCATGAATCTAATGTAGCTTCACAGCATCATCAAACTAGGTCTTGTTGAAGTTACATATTGTACGTTTAAACATCACTCAGTGCAGTGCTGTCGAGTTTGAGCAGATGATGTCCCTAAAGGTGATTTGCCCACTGCTGTGTCAAATGACAAATGTATCCAGTAACATGGACAAAACTTTATTTAAACGATCAATATCCTCAAAAGGCTCCAGGCCACAGAGTCACAAACATGTAATCTTGATATTCCTTCACTCAGACATCATGAATGTAAACACGATGGTGCTCTCTTTTCTCCAGGCCACAAAGCCTGGGGTCACTGCCATGGTGGGCGCCTGGGTTGTGTGTGTGTGCGTGCGTGTGTCCATGTGTGAATGGGGGGAGGTAAGCGGGGAATGCACACTCTCCCGTTTGTTGACTCAAGATCATAATATGTGGTGGGAGGAACGATTACGTGTGGGGAGCCAAAGTTTTCCACACGCCTGGACTGTTTCTTCTTCAGTGTGACGAGGATCATTGACGGCCCTGCTGGGTTTGTCCGATCATGTGGTTAGCACGCCGCCATGGAGCTCGGGCTTTGATTGGATGTCACATTGCATTAAGCATTTTATTGAATAATGATCGACACTGTCAAGTGCTTTAGACGTACAGTCTCACCCACACTCTCTGTGTCTCCCTCAGGGTGTCGGGCCCCCTCCTGTCTCCCGGGATGAAGGGAACAGGGACGCCTCCTCCTCCACCACCACCGCCACCTCTGGAGAAACAGCATGTTCACTCTCACCAAAAGCCCTACTCTCACTATCACCATCATCAGTCTGCTAATGACGGTAAGAAGGACCTCCAGACATCTGGCTGAATGTAAATAGTTTCAGGAAATCTGTTTTGGATTGAATTTGAAAATGGCTATTAGCGTTTAAAATGTTCTTCCCGTGGCAGGTGATTCAGCGTTCAGTTTATTACTCTTGAATGATGTCCTTATGAGGGAATTCCCAGTGTCGGGTCATTAAAATATACTTATATCTTACCATCTCTGTGTCTTCACCACCAGAGCCACAAAGAAAGGCCTGAGAGAGAGGAAGTCAGAGCAGTGATACTGCCCTGTGGCTCTGTCAGAGCATTTTTAGGACAGAGAGATTACAGTCGAAGAAACAGAGTGGAGAAAACCGCACGCCGGAAGCCTTTTCCCTGCACTGAATTAGCCAACAAAGCGCTGGCTCATGTGTTCAGCTGTCTCTCAGCGCCTGAACATTGGAAGGCTCAGCTGTCACTCCAGAGCCTTTTTCCTAATGCCTTAAACACTGTTTTCCCTGTAAAGATCTACACATGGACGTCTCGCTAACCACGCTGTGGTCAGGCAGTTGCGTAAAAGCGCTCGTGGAAAGGCTGCTTCCCCATTATCGTGACTCCTGCGGTCGAATCTGAGTACAAACTGAGACGATGGGGACGAACGTTACACACTATGGGGCTGGCAGAGGTAGCTCGAGCACAAATATAGCATTGTCATAATTTGAGATCCCCATTAAGTTTCAGCCGGATGGAGCAGACGCTCACTGACCCTGGAAACAATCGCCCATAGACTCTGGTGGCAGTTGATCAAGTCAGGCTTTTATTTTTCTTCTCTCTCTTCGTCTCATCCACTCTTCATCTTCCCTCATTTCCTAGAATATCAAGGCAGCTTTCAGAGCTGCTTCCATTTCGGAGACTCCTACAGGATGGAGCAGACGGTCGGTGGTGTCCATGTCCCCGGAGATTCTCACGCCTACACTTCCCATCAGCACAATGGCTTCCACATGTCAAACAGCACTGCTGGCTCTGCGGGTAAGGACGATTTACCATGGGCCTTTATTCCAGAATCATAAAGGATACAGATCATAAAGATAACCTGAATCATTTTATCAGAAATTTTAAACACATTTATAATTTCTGTTCCAGGCTTCAACTTGACCCAGGAGCTGCAGGGCAACGGCGGGTGCCAGTTCGCGTCAAGCCCGGAGGAGAGCATTTTCTTCCAGGTTGGCAGCTTCGACCGCAGCCTGAGCCACATGTCCTCCATCTACACAGAGACATAGAGCAACACTGGAGCAGGACACGCTTCACCACAAACACTCTACTACGCTGCAGTCCGACTCCTTCACATGCATCTTCACACACTCGTTGTTTTCTTCCCAGGTCACACAGACTTACTGCAGGTGTCAGATGGAGGATGAAACTGAGGAAATCAGAATGGCACTCAGTAGAGTACATTCCTCCACCAAGGCCCAACAGTCTTCTCAAATTCAATCAAGCAGCACCAAATGTCAATCACTCAATTTCGGTCCATAAATTTTCCCTGGGATATCAGTGAAAACTTCAAAAAACTCAGATTCTTTCCAGATCTGCGCCACCACATCCTCCAAGTTTCGTCGAAATCTGTTGAGTTGTTTTTGTGAGATCTTACTAACAACACAGACAGGGGTGAAAACATAATCTCATTTGTGAAGTAAAACATTTAGTTCAGGTTATTTACTCTTCACTTTGTTAATAGTTAACCTTTACGGCCTGTGAACCCTTGAAACAAAAATGTATTATCATCAGTAAAACTGGTAAAAGGTTCCTCCTTCCTGGTTGTAAATGAATCATTTTCAAAAGAAAAGAAAAACATTTAAAAGAAAAAAAACAAAGATTTGAGTGTTACAGAGACTCTCCAGTGATTTGACTCATTCACATTAGCTAATTTAATACTTAATACTGTAAAACATCTTCTGCTGTTAATGTCTGAGAAAATAGTCCCAATGATGTCACAGTGATGTCATGAGGGGGTTATTTGGGATTGAGCTGGAGACAGATTTAAAACAGAGAGCCTCTGTTATTAACTCTGGATGTGCAGGTTTGAATACGAGGATATTTGCCCTGCAGGGAGTTCTCTTCCCTCAGCTGAGTTGCACTATGTGAATATTAGGATCTGGTATTTCAGGTAGAAGTCAGGACGTCTCACCCTCTCTTAGGTCAATTTTGTCCGTCCTGTCTCTTGCATCCCCAAAACACAATGAAAGTTTCATCAATCACTCTGAGAACTTTAAGGTTCATCTTGTGATCTCAGATTCAGACATCCAGGTTGGGAACTGTTGGGATAAAAATGATTTTAAATATGTTAAAGGCAAAAATTGAATATACGATTTGATCTGTTTCTGGCTAAAAGAGGTTTTATTGATTTGACAAAAAGAAATCCAATGGAAGTCTTCTCTTTTAAGTAGTGAAAAAATGACTTTTTAAAACGACTATAACATAAGAGACAGAAACTTTTCTTCAGAGCTTCAGAATCACATTTATTGACCAAGAACTCATCATGTACAGAGACTCGGTTCACCTTGGTGCAAACACATACACGCTTACGTACACAGTACAACCAGACTGAACTTACACATTTCATCAGCTTTAAGATGTCAACTTCAGAAAATACAAAACTCCTGAACGGACTTTAAATAATACGTCCTCTCTCTCTCTCCTCCTGTGTTTTCTCTCTGATCTACATCTTTCGATCTGTTCCAGACTGGAGTGTAGAAACGAATATATCATTTGCAGTGTGTTTGCTTTTCTTCTTCTCTTTTTGTTGTCAAGTGTTTTGTGCTATTGAATTTATTTCCAGGTGAGGGGCTCATTCAAAAAACAACCTCCTTCATTGTATGTGTATAAAATGTACAGTTTGTTAACAACAATCATTTGAATGTTTGTCATTTCTCAATTTAAGATATAATAAATTGTTTGGTCACTCAATGGCTCTTTTTTTATCATTTAAATAATGCAGAGAAGAGAATGAAGCTTAATAAACCTGAACAGTGTATTTTATACAGACATACACAACCTCTGTGAATGAGCTCAGACTGTTGATATTGAGAAAAAGCCTCATTCTGTAGGCTTGTTGTGCCCTCTAGTGGACGCTGGCAAGTACTGTAAGTCACAGAAAACCACTGCTTCTTATTTCTTCTTCTTCTTGTTGAGGTAGCTCTGATAATAGAAGTTACTGAAGAGGATGATGAGGGTGACGCAGTAACCGAACAAAAGCATGTTCATGGCGTTGGGGAAGTCGCACTCAACTAACAGGTTGTGACCCGTGTGCACAAGGAAGACCCCAAACTGCACCTGGAGAGGCAGCCGACAAAAGTTCCAATTGGTTCTTAAAAAAAACATTTTGTGTGCACATGTTTGATTCCTGTCACACAGAGTGTGGGCCACTCACCAGCTGCAGAGACGTGAGGTAACGTTTCCACCACAGGTACTTCTGCATATGAGGGCCGAGGGCAGCCAGGCCGTAGTACGAGTACATGACAATGTGAACGAAGCTGTTCCCCATAGCATTGAAGAACGCTGCAGGAATGAAGCAAACATCAAGAAAGGCATTAGGAGGCATCTGTACAATCAGAATCTAAGTAATGATATGGATCAAAATAATGACAAAAGCTAGTTTGAAGTTTTGATATAAAAATGTCTCCACTACAAGTCTTTAGCAAAGAAATGAAAGGACAAAAGTATTACGTAAGAGTCATGCAAACAACGGAATTACGAAACATGCTATCCTCAAATCAAACTGTCTGTTGTAAAGATTTAAAAAGGAAAATATACAAATATAAAAAATATAAACTATATAATAGAAATGTAAAAAAAACTCAAGAATTAGAAAATTAATTTCTGCAATTAAGTATAAGTAAACACAGATGTAGGTAACAAGGGAGCAAATAGCGACCGGCAGCAGGAGAGGAAGTGATAAGTATAATAATTATAATATAAATAATGTAAGTATTTCACTGTTTTATGGTGATATGATAAATATGATAAATTAATATTGCACATGATACATAATAACATTAGAGAGTGTAGTCTTGTAATACTTCATGTATCATATCTATAATATTGTAAAATAATTTACTCATACAAAAAGCTTTTTTAAGACATTTGATCTTCATATTGTCCTATACACAAATGTGAAGCAAATATCAAAAGTTCAAAGGGTCAAACTTCGTGCCATGCTGCAGATTTGCTTCTTCACAGGAGGCGAATGTTTTCTCCACAGGGGGTGAACTGTCCTGTCCATGGTGCCTCACGCACCTTCTACTGAAGTCACAAATTTATGGTTTGATTGAAATATAAAACAGGCAAAGTAATGTGATCAAATACCAGCAAAAGTTGCCATAATGTGTTGGGGAGGATTGACAGCTGTGGTTGATACATGAGTATCAATCCACAGTACAAGTATTTACAACAGCGTGATGGTGAATGCATCAATTCAAAATAAACCACAGTGCTGCTGTTGTGTCACACAGTGCAGTGGTGACACTCATTTTAATGTGTCTCTACAACAATGGAGCTCTGTCACAGAGGAACATGATGCTCTGAATACTCAGAAGAAAAAAATCAGGAAACTGGATTAAATGCGTAATGTTTTTTTCTGTTTGTGATTGAAAAACTACATGAGTTGACTTACACTGTCCCCCGGCCACATACTTGACTCCCAACCACCAGTTGAAGATCATGGTGCCGTGGTGGTAGACATGGAGGAATGTGACCTGATTGTTCTTCTTCCTCAGGATGAAGAAGAGCTGCTCGTACACAGAGGAGCAGAAGAGGCTGTTGGAGTTACGACTCTGTTTTCTCAGTACTCGACTGAATATGAAAATGTTTTAACGTGATACTCACCGTGTCACTGAGCTCGATGACCTTGGAGAAGAAGAACCACCAGCAGACTCTGGCCATCTGGACGGGGGGGACAGTGGAGGAGGCTGGGTTTTACATTTTATAATTACTTCTATAAAAAGGTATATGTACGTTTCACTGCATTTAAATTCAATTCAAACAACGTCAGTAGTCTCACTGCTGCACGTCATGTGGAACGGATTGTACAAAAAAATATACACAGACACAAGAAAGAAGGGAGCTAAAAAATAATGAACAAGTTAATGAAAAAGAAATGTGAATATACAGTCAATCAATACTTTGAATTATGATCCAAACATAATTAACTGTAACAAACAAAGCTCAGTATAAGGTTCTATCAGACTTTCTCAATGTTCTATTCCTTTAAAATACTCTCTTAAGCCCGGCCTCTTCTGATCAGCTGACTGGTGGTTGTCTGTGATAAACCAATCAGATTTATGTCATTATCTCAATCAGCCAATCACACTGCTGCAGTCAAAGCTGAAATCTGGTGTCCTCTCTTTCCTGTCAGCTGTCATTTCAGTGATTGGCTGAGACACTCCACCCCCTCAGACACCTCCAGTCTCCACAGTTTTCTACACTATACAGCCACGATGACATCATGAGGCGCGGCACATGGCAATAAATTTAGTTATCGCAAAATGTTTCGATTGCAGTCTCTCCTGATTGAAATGTTGTATGTGGGAAACATGAACTTACTCTCATGGCCAGCGGGCTGTTGCTGTAATCTACAGGCTGACACAGGTAGCTGTAGTTTGAAAGTAACGACGTGACCAGGAACTAGAAACACAAAAAACAATAATGTCATGAAATGAAACACCTCCAATATAATAACCATGTATGTGTGGTGAAAGAGAACATATAAAAAACAGACATCTTTTCATGCTCAGGCTGCTTGAACTAAGAACCATTTTCAAAATGTATTCATTGCTGTGTGGCTTTGCTCTATAAAGATAACAGCAAACAAGGAACGACTTAAATGTGCACTTTACTGAATCCAGGATTATGTGCAGATTATTGACATATAATTGGCCCCCCTGTGTTAATCTTGACCCCCCCCAATTTATGAAAAATCCTGGATCCAGCCCTGCTCAGGATTTATTTGTTTTCGGTGTTCAAACAAAACAAAGAGCAGATCTGACAAACCTCGTAGAACATGTAGACAGACAGGCCGACCATGGCGAAATTGTAAACTATGAGAGCGACTCTGAGGTCAAAGGGTTCCCTGTGTTTCATCAGACGAGGGCCCGCCCACACCATGCTGAGGTAGAGCAGGAAGATGATTGCCACCGGAGCAGGGGAGTAGACCAGCAGCCACGGGTCTGTGCGCTTGTCTGGAACATGAAACACAAACATAAAGCTATGTGTCAGAGAGTTTAATCACACCAAACAAGTCAGGACACATCTGTAGCTTGAATTCAAGTTCGATGACCTGATATCACTTCCCAAAACTTTCACTACTGCTAAGGGATGATTTCTGAACCTGCTGCAGTACAGAAGTGACAGAAATCCAAACAGGAGAATGTCCACACACCAGTTGATGCTCCCACAAACATATTTATTTCACATCCCAGGTAAAGAGGTGTTTTTTGTTTTGTCTGCATAGGAAAAGACAGATTTTTACAGTTCTGTCCTGTTCCAGATCAGCCTCAGATAGGAAATTGTATATGCAACTGTGTAAATGTAAGCCAAATAAAAAATGTTTTCCTGATAGTCAAAGGGCTAACCCTGAGTTTGACCCCTGATCTTCCTTCTCACATACATCCAGTATAATCAGGAAGATGAGTGACACCAGGACGGGGGAGTAAACCAGCAGCCACACATCGGTATGCTTGTCTTGAACTTGACATCCAGCTCTGTGTCAGGGAAGTACTTCACTCTTGATGGATTTGAGTTTTCAAAGCTGACTTGATTCCTGAAAACGTTCACCTCTTTTTAGGAACTATTTTTGTTTTGTCTGCACAGGAAAGGCAACGTTTTTACAGTTTGTCAAGTTCCAGTTCAGATGACACATTGTATGTGCAACTTTGTAAATCAATACCAAAATCTGTTTTATAGCTAAACAAACTCAAAAAAGACCATGAAAATAGAGTTTTGTATGGTTAACCCTGAGTTGTATCCCTGTTTTTCATCTGTGCAACATGCATGTATGTGTATACTGAACGTATAGAATTCAATTCATGGCGTTAACCATGTGACAGGCCACAGGGCAGTCATTGTGGAGCAGCAACTCCCACACACTGAACACACACACCAACAAGTTTATACAAGTTTGCTGCACAAATTAAGTCCACTGAACATGTTGAAGACAGAAAATGAGCACACACCTCCATTGTCCAGTTGGCTTTGGTACGTAGAGAGGAGACTTTCCCAGGCTGAACTCATCTGGAAACAGAGGAATGTAACGATCAGAGGAGGAAACACTGAAATCTGCAGAATTCAAAGACACGAGGGATCAGCTCACCTCTCACACGGTGTGTCAGCGGCTCAGTGACAACGCTGCAGAACCTTTGCACACTATGTGGAACCCTGAGGTAAATGATTATAAACCAAGTTCAGCTCCGAAACAGCAGCGGTCCGCCCCTCGAAGATCAGTGAAGACGATAGGAGCATCTGCAGCGGAGAGGAAACACGATAATCCGAGACTCCGTGAAGTAATCACCGCGAATCCACAGGTTAACGGGGAGTAAACTTCCAACACAAGGACTTCAGTGCACGTGCAGATGTTTCCAAGAACATCTGGATCACTTCCGCGTCCTGCGTTTAGCTTCACTTTGTCTTATCGCAGGTGCAGGGTCACAACAGAGGGGGCGCTGTTTGCCGCCAAAATGATTTCTGCTGGGGCCGTGCATTTAACTGAGGAGCCACATTAAAGAAAAAAGAATAGAAGAAATAAAGAGGTATTATTGTGAGAATAAAGTGAGAATATTTAGAGAAAAAACTTGTACATTTATGATAAATAAGTGGTAATATTACGAGAAAAAGATAAGTGGTAATTTACAAGAGGAAGTTGTAAATTTACAATAATAAAGTGATAATATTATGAGAAAATAGTTGTACATTATGAGAATAAGTGGAAATATTATGAGGACAAAGTAGTACGAGAATAAAGTCCTAGTTTTATGCTACGTGTCATGTAGAACATTAGAAGAGCAGCCTGTCACCTGAGTTAAAACGAGGAATGCCAAACATCTCGTTGTCATACTGTTGTTCAGGTTTCACAACCAACAACTTATGTAATCTGTGTGGCTCATCAACATTATCGTAAGCATCAGGACTGGGGAAAAAAAGAAACCGTATTCTGAAGAAAGAGACAGGCTTTGTTGAAACGGTCTCTGTTGCGGATGACGAAATCTTTGCTGGTGGTTCACTTTAAAACGTAGGTATTCAAAGTGGTTTCGTAGTTTCTCAAGAAATGATTTCACATTAGTTAAGGTTATTGTAACAAAGAATGATCCAGTTTATTTTACACAAATGTAAACTTTATTTAATACTGACATGAGCTCATAAACAGGTATTGTTGTGTACTGTGTGAACAGTTAGTGGATATAGGGACGTTAATAGAGCTATATGAGGAAAACATCTTATGTCTCATTGTTCAGCTGAATTACTGCCAGTGTTTTTCTCATCAATTATTCATCAACACTAATGATGTTCTCCAACCGAAAACTAGCAGAACTCTGTAAAACACTCAACGGTAGAGGAAGTGTTCACATCTTAATGGTAAAGGGGAAAAAGCTAAAGTCTGCATGATCATAATATGGTGATAAAAACATGATCTGCAATGATGTCATTAAAAATCAACATGATGCACTAAAAGCTTCATACACACTCAATGCAAAGCAATTAAAAAACATATCTCTTCAAAAAATTTTCGATGGAAATGGCTGATGGGATCAAAACAATACATTCATGTGGAAACAGAGGAGCTCACATGTGATACACATGTGAAGGCCCCATGTTGGACTTTCACACTCAACTTTCCTCTTTCACTGCTTTGAAGAAGCAGCTGAGTGAGAGCTGTCGGCCTCCGCTGCTCGCTGCGTCCAGTTTTGTTTTTTTTGAGGCCTGTGGCTTCTTGTTATTTTTGACACCAGTTGCATTTTGCTTCTTTCCATTCTATATGAGAGAGAGAAAGAGAAACGAGTGACATATGCTATTATTGATCATGGAATAAGGTGCACTGTTGTGAAAGCTCGTGAAGAGCAGACATATGCAGAGGTACTTACCTTAGAGGTCTGTTCTTTTTGACCGTCCACAGAATCATACAGCTTCACAATCTGCAGGAGAATAGACAACGATGTGAAACTGTAAATACTCATGTGTGGACCCTCACTTACTCCTGCTGTCTGAAACAGACACGACTAGAGGGCTGTTAAGAGATACCTCTGCTGAGACTAACGCAAGTGAAATTGATACCTGGATCCACTCCAAATTAGAAAGGGTTCTTCCTTGAGTTATGCCACATCCCTGCGCAACATTTTATGGAAATCAGTGCAGTGGCTTTTGACAAGTTCTGGTTACAGGCAGAAACAGAAACATCCTTGGCAGAAGTAATGACGTCCTGCAGTCATGCTTCAGAATCTCTGAAACTGAATTCAACAACCACAATAACCAGACAACAACTTGAGCAGGTAGACTGCTGTTGTTATCATTTTGATTATTATCATTATCAACTTAACACACACGCGCACGCACACACAAACTCACACACACACACACACACTGCTGTGTAACCAAAACACAAACCTTTTTCACTCCTGTAGACACGGCAGCTTCCTGCAGTGCATCCCTGCTGAGCCACTGTGTATTTTCAGTGTGCGTTTGTGTGTCTAAGTCTTTCATGCGCACGATGTGAACCACATACGTCTGGTGGATATGGGAGAAGTTGTGAACCACCTGCAAACAGTGACCTGATCAGTCTGAGGGTTGTGACACAGAAGTACTTTAGACTTTATCTCTGTGTGTAAGATTTGTGCCTACGTCTCCGATGTGCTGGAGAAGGGACTCAGTCAGACTAGTTCCCAGCATCCTGCTGATCTCAGCACACAGCGCCTTCCTCTGTTTCATCTCAGAACTCTCCTCCTCCAGCAGAAGACTGGGAAACTCCCACAAGCCTGCCAACAAGCCTGATGACACACACACACATGTTATTTTGTACTTTCAATCATATTTTCCTAATTGCTTAAACCAATCTTTTGTATTTCTTTATTTGTTGCTTCTTTATTATTTCTGTCCATTGAAATCGAAGACTGAGGGAGATGTAAATGGCCTGTATTTGAATAGTGCTATTGAAGTCTTGATGACACAAGTTTCGAGTTTTTTGTGAAAACAAAATATCTATTCTCAGGCTACAGAGTCATTTTGCAGTACATTGTTGAGCACCACAGACAGACCAGTAGGAAACACTGCAGGCTCTGACCTTTGTCTGGTCTCTGTGTGAGCAGGTACTCGTCCTCTCCCACGTCACCACGTCTGATCACCAGACAGGTCAGAGTTCGCTCCACTCGGGCCGCCTTCTTTGCCGGCTTCCTGGGGAAGTTGTGAACGCCCAACGCATTGTCCCAGGGCTCCGAGGGACAGAGCCGACATGTTCCACTGATAACTGAGAGAGAGGAGGAAAAGTAAAAGTTATTTTGTATCACATCTACATGAAGCTCTGAGAGATGTGAGGGAGGAACAAGAGGGAGAACACTTACCACATTCTTCTATATCAGACAGGGATGAAGTCTTCCCCTCCAGCTTCCCCAGAAGCTTCTTAGAGTTTTGTTCTTGTTTGAAGTGAACCTGCACATTCACACATGTGATCCCAGACATTAATGATCACTGACTTCTTCTGTGTTTAGAGGGGTTAGCACAAACCATAACAACTTCTTATTAACAACGGTTAGCACCAGTGATAGGCTTTACCTTGCGATACGAGTGGCAGTGAGACTGGACAGGACACTGGCTGCACACTGCTCCTTTAGGGGTGCACACTCGAGCCCCCAGCTCCATCATGGCCTGGTTAAAGTCCCCGGGTCTGTCTGGGTCCACCACTGTGTTGGCTAGATCCCTGAAATACAACGGGATCAAATCTAATTTTATTTGTATTGCCCTTACTCTCAAATCACAATTCACTTCATAGGGCTAAACAAGGTGCGACTTCCTCTGCCCTTAACATTCGACTAGAGGGAGGAAAGTCTACAAAGAAAAAAAAAAACTCAGAAAGAGCAGCATGTGAGGGAATCCTCTCCCAGGACGGACAGAAGTGTAATAGCTGTCATGAGTAACAGAGCACATCAACCAAATAAACAATATTCACAACATGAGAAAAGACAGGGTCTAACATAATCTGTGTATCAAGGTTTGAAGTATTTATACAAAAGAAATTGTTGGACAGAGATGAAGGGAGCAGTAATGACATTTGTAGTGATATCAGTGTTGTCATTAATATTATTATTATCAATATTAATATTACAAGCAATCTAGTGTGATCAGATCAGATTTTTTTATATTGACAGTATATTTCTCATGAATCACTCAAAAATTTGGGAATTTCAAGAGCTTCTCCCAGTTAAAAGAAGTGTTACTTAAAACTTCTATTTACATAAACAGACTTCTGGATGGAATATAGTTTTTTTTAAAACTATGATTAAAAATCAAAGCTGTTCTACCAGGTGAGCTACCAGAGACAACGGCCGAATGTTTGGTTCCAACCCGCCCTCGCATGGCCACTCGAATGTCATTCACTGTTAACAATAGCTCAGTGTCTCCAGGACAGCTCTGACCTCACTGATAAGGTCGACAAAAGAAACAAACACTCAGTGTGTCTGAGCCTCATGGTCAGTTCGTCTCTCTGAGTGGGATCTAAGATGTAAGTCAGAATCATGTGAGGGCATCTGGGTTTAAATCCACCCAGCACAGGACGCTCTACAGGAGTGGGTGGAATTACTCAGGGCTCACTTGTGTTGCTCATCTTCGCTCCTCAATGCATCGAGAATCACTGAGGACATCAGGACTGGTTCTAGAAACCACATAAAAGAGATTCTGGCCTTGCTGCATTTGTTTAAGATTTTATTGATGACTACAAAACAAGCCCCTGTGTATTCATGGATTTAAGAACTACCCATGAGGCTGAATGCCACCTTAGATCCGCTGATAGTGACAGTATCGCAGGTCGTTCCTTCCTGCAGCAGAAAGACTAATATATTTTTATCTTATTTTCTGGTCATTCCTACAGTCTGATTGGTGACTTTGAGGCTATCATGCGTTTGCAGCACAGGCCCAAAACTGAGGAATGCCTCCCCAGCTGAGAGCAGACATGCTACATCTGTGGGTGAATTTAATTTACTTTTATTCAGGGTTTGTTGAGGATGTTTATTGGCGTTTAAACTCACCAAAGAGCCTCAGTTACTGCAGGACTGGTGCTGTCAGCTCCGATGGCCCTCAGGCGACACAGCACCCGAATGACATTTCCATCCACAGCTCCAGTTACCTAGGCAACACGAATGGTCATGTTGTCACTAGCACCTACAAACATCTGTGCGTGTGCGTGTGTGTGTGTGTGTGTGTGTGTGTGTGATGGCCAACCTGTCCCAGTGCAATAGAACCAATAGCAGCAGCAGTGTAGCGTCCCACACCAGGTAACTGTTTGAGCAGGCTGTCAACTGTCTGAGGCATCTGTCCCTTCAGCTCTGTCACGACCTAAAACAAAAACAGTCACACAATTAACACACAACTTCTTAATCCTCTCCTTAGCATTTTTCTCATCAATTACCAGTGTGACTATACAAGTTTATTTGCACTGGGCAGAAAATGTACACAAAGCTGCTGGAACAATGAAGAGAAAATCGAGAAGTGACGCAGATACACAAACCTTCTGAGATCCTTCATGAAGTCTTCTTCCTCTGGAATAGTATCCGAGACCCGCCCACATCTGATTCACTTCCTACAGACATAAAAAATAAATTAATTCAAGTTGAGAACAATAACATTTTTAGATGAACCCTTTCTGTAGCTGCTGTTAGTGATCACCTCCAGTGTGGCAGCTGACAGATCCTGCACAGTCGGCCACCGCTGGAACATAGAGAAGTCCAAATGACACATCAGGCAGGATATTCACTAGATTTTAATAAATACCTAATACCTTTATGACACCTACCTTCATCCACTTGTTGTAGTAATCTATTACTGTGGCCACTTGAGTCTGTTGCAGCATGATTTCTGAAACCCAGACTGAGAAAAGGGGAGAAATATTCTTGTAGATTATGTCAACAGCAGCTTAAAATATCTTAAAATTGTCAATAAAACATTGTCATACCTGCATATGTCCTGATGTTGAGGTCTGGTTCTGTCACAGCCTGTCAGAGAAATACAGGGAGCGGGGCCGTTAAATTACTTCACAGTAGTAGAAAACATTAACAACAAGTCAATTTTTGCAATGTTGGGGCATTATTAAATATCACTGTGATGATAAACATGCATTGTGTTACTCAGTTATCATTAAATTAATCCTTGAAATAAGAATTGATGCAGATTAAGATATAAAAACAGAAAAAAGGCAACATTATAATAAGATAAGGACTTCACATCACTGTATATCCAGCTGCATAAGTCAAGTACTGTCCGATAAAATTATTAAGAAATTAAGATTTAATATATATATATAATTTTCTGACTGCACATGCTCAGTATGCACAAGCTATACTTTCCCTTTTTGTTGTTTTATGTTTAGGTGTATTTATCCAACTGTGTATTTGTATAGTGACAAAATCAAATATTAATAATGAATCCATAAAATAATCTCATGCACAAAAGTATATTTGTTATAACAGAAAAAATGATGCTCCAATAACCGTGTCCCTGAACCACACATTAAACCTTCTGTGCCGTCATCATCATGTATAAAATATTATATATCATTGAGATTGTTGTGTCTGTCTCTAACAAACTGAATGTGTGTGTTTTTACCAGAGTCCTCCATGGCAGCTCTCTCTGCTCCCTGTCGTACCACTTCAGGAGCTCAGAGCGCAGCAGCACCACATCAGCAGGATCAGTGAAGGTGTGGTACGAGGATGGAGAGGCAGTGGTTTCCTCTGGAAGATCAAAACATTTTCATTTAATTTTTTTAAAGGCTCTGAAGTTCTTTGGCCTAAACGAGTATGTTACATATATTTCAGGGCATTGCTTAATTTTAATAGAGATACTATAATATGTCCTTAACTTCAGCTTTAATCAAATATTTTATTGTACGCCTGTTTTAGGCTGAGCACATAATGTGCATGACACAATAACAAAAACCAATCAAACACACAACAGCAGCTAATAACGTATTCCTGAACTAATGCTCATCACCCACACCACGTTATAAAAATCTGTTTATCATGAGTACATATGCATGAATTATCTTTGCTATTATGCAGAGCTGATTTTGGATTCTGCACAAATACTGCAAAGACAGTTGGGCAGCGTGTATCCTGGTTTATAGGCCTGATTTACAAAGTGAAGCTTTATTTGCATGAAGGCAAAGACATGCACAGTTCTCTCTTATAAAAACTGATGTGAAACTGAACAAGAGAAGAAAAGTAGGATGAGCTGTGGTGCTGTGGAGTCTGTGTAGAGACACCTGCTTCATGTTTGTATATAATATAAAGTCAACACCTTCAGTCTCTGGCTTTAGACACAACACGTTAAACAGCATCACCATGGTGACTGTACCTTCCTTCACCGCTGTCTTTGTCCTCTTCCGCTTTGTTTTTGCAGATTCTATCATTTCCCCTCCGCCTCTTTTGCTTTGACGCATCCCTGATCGTAACCCGCTCATCATCTGTCACCACGAACACTTTAAACTTGTGTTTACCTCGCAGATTCCATTTCTTCTCCCGCCACGTTCAGGACGGGGCGGTCTCTGCTCGTCCAATCACGGAAGCACGGAAGTGGGGAGACGAAGCCGTTGCGTCATCTCCGGTAGGCGGGTAAAAAAAAAAAAGTAGGCGGGTCAAAATAAGGGCCTCTTGTGTGGTTCATTCATAATAATTGTGATCACTTTAATTACTGTGAGTTAGAAAATATTATTCTTATTTGTGCCTTTTTAGAATAAACAAAACGGGGCGTGCTATAAATAAATAAAAAATAAATGAAATCAGGAGTCAGGAAGCAAATCCATTTTAATTAAAATTTTTCATGATTCTTTAAATTTGAAAAAAGTAGTCAGCAAACGTTGACTATTAATCTTTATATTAACATATAAATGCAAGAAATACAAAATGTCAAATAAAATGTATTTATCTGCTTCATTAAAATGATTATTATACAGTATATGTTCCTCTTGTCAGTCCTCAGAGTCACCATCCAAAACTGTAACACAGAACTCAAAAATCATTTTCTCATCATACAGAAAACTGAGGTCAAACCTTTGAACCAGCTCTAACATAAACTCAGGGATTAAAGTTATCACCTTCATATATGTTGACTTTGTTCGTCAGCAGGTTTTCTGCTTGTGTTTCATCCAGATTCATGTGAAACGTCTCACCGTGATTCTGCAGAGACAGAGTTATTAGATTTGTTAGTGCAATCTTCTCCACACTGACCTTCTAACCTGTGTTATCATGGTATGTTTTATGTTATATAAGAACTTACCACAAAGGCTGTGAACAGCGACCTGCCCATGACTCGCTGAACATGATCCTCTACAACCGGGAACGAGAGGACAAAGTGCTGTGGGCAGAGGGCGACAGCAAGTATTCACTGTGAGTTATGGAATGTATGTAAGTATGTATGCAGCAGATAACACGTACCTGCAAGGCCAGACTGGCTTGTATTTGAGCATCTGTGTGTTCTCTGTTGCCCAATGCACACAGCAGACACTGGATCACTCCAAGAGAGAGAAGATCATGAGAAATCTCCTGATCCTCTTCTGCCAGCAACCTTCAACACAATAAACACAAATTATATAATATAATACATAAAAATAATAAACTGCAATTAATCCTCATGACTTTTCATCATTTGTTTTCTGATTATTTGAACGTTACCTTCACTCAATGACCATACCTTATGGTTTTAGCTGCAGCCGCTTGTTGCACAAACACAGGCAGAGATCCAATCATCATCATCATCTCAGCCTCTGACATCATCGAATGTGTCAAAAAAGTGATAATAACATGTATATAATTAATGTCACAGGATATAATGACCTCCACCAGGGACCTTATATATGTTCACCCCTGTCTGTGTGTTCTTAGGTTGGTTTTTTGTAATTCTCTTCCTCTTCCTGATCAGTTTAAAGATGCTGCTTTATCAGACTTTAAAGATAAAACCGACTTTAATTAGCTACAATAACAGACATCCAGAATAAAGTGTCACCTTCAGTGATCTGCTGGGACTTTACATCTTCTCTAGCAGGCCTCAGCAGAGCCACCAGGCCACTGAGAAGCACCGGTCTCACATCAGAACCCTTCAAGTCAAGGATAAGATGAATAGCTGTCACAGAGAGAAAAGAGTTGGACGAAGTGAAACTGTGAAGCTACAGGAAACGTTTATCAGTATGAATTTAATTGAATGCCTTCTCTTCTTACCTTCATCCTGGACCTCAAGGTGAAGAGATCGCAGCATGTTCAGCAGAGGCTCAACAAGGCTGTGATGGGCCGTCTTCATTTTGGACTGTGAGGGAAAAAAACTTCATCAATAATTGTTAGGTTCTCATAACATATGAAAACCAGTCCTTCTGTATCCTGCTTTAATAAATAGAGACCTTCTTGTGATAGGATCACCCCAGCAGACGAGTGTCAACACGATGACTTTCTGACGTTATTAATAATCATTATTATCATTATAATACATTAAACTTGTGTAGCACTTTCCAAGGAACTGGAGGACACTGTCTATGAAAACGTAACATAACAAATATCTCTACATTCCATTGTGTATGTGTGTGTGTGTGTGTGTGTGTGTGTGTGTGTGTGTGTGTGTGTGTGTGTGTGTGTGAGTCCTGGAGATTCCTTCTGTGGCAGAAACTATCTCTGAGTCAGACTTGAGTATCTTGGCATGTGTTACAGAGGGTGTCTCCAGGCCAGGATCACATTTTTCCATGACGACATACTTTCACACAAATGTTGCCAGATGGTTAAAGTAGATATGGTCCATGGACGAGAGATCATGAATGCTCATGTTCAGGTTCGGTTTGTATCTTCATCTCTAATTGTACCTGAACAATACGTAGGGTGTGCAGCACCATCTGCTGGGCTTTAGGAGAGCTACAAGCCATGAGGGCGATGAGGCTTTTGTAGATTAGATTTAGATATTTAGGATTCCAGTGGGACAAGGACTCCAGCAGGGCCCAGGCTGTGTCTTGGGTTTCCTCTGTGTTGGACTTGGCCAGACACTCTGCTATCACTTTCACACCTGTATAATAATAAAGAGGGCAAAGTAGATGGTTGCTAAAGTGCGTGTAATGATCCAGGTGGTGAATCAAATGAATAGTGAAATTCACCATGGCTTTCACAGATCATCTCTTTGTACTTGCGACCAGCGTTGGAGACAGTGAGCAGGAGATGGACGGCCTCGGCCTTGTCCTCCTCTTTGCTCTCAGCGTGACTCAGGATGTCCAAGAGAGTGAGAACGCCTCCGTCCTCCAGGAACTCCATCAGGTACTGATCACTGACAAACACAAAGCAGTCTTCAGCTCATGCAAACAATGGCTCATAGATACAGTATTCAATACGTTATGATGATGTTTTGTTAATTCTCACTTACTGGCCTGATGCAGACAGGAAAATCCTTATTGCTCTTAACTGGAGGCCCAAGAATGTCCCAAACATGTATCTGGACTTTTAGTGAAGGACTGGGTCTCAGTTGGAGGACAACAGTGTATCTACTAATCCATTTTTTTTGTTCCAACAATTTTTTTTACATTATTCAGAATTCACTTCCCCTATGGAAAAGGAAGTTGTGTTTTCATTGCTGATTTTATTGTAACTAAAACTTAAAAATCAGACATTATTAGGGGACATATCTTTGTGTGTGTTCATTGCACACAGAATAACAACTTCATAATATTTAATATAATATACAGTACAAGATACAGAAAATACACATTACAATGTTTTTAACATAAAAATACATAGATGTGACTTAAAGATATGAATTTCTATTATTCTCACAGTCATACACACATAAAGATGTTTTTTCCACCCCCCATAAATATCATGATACAGGCCTCCACGTGTCAGACATGACTGTGACATGAGACGGAGGATACGTGAGTCTCATCCAGGTAGTGAGACGAGCCAGGAAGAGACTGGACACCTGAGCGAACTCAGTCTCCAGCTCATAGCAGGTCTTCCCCGAGCTCTGACCCACGAAGGTGTTCAACATGCGGCCGCGGACCGTCCTGTCTCCACGGTCCCACTCCCGGAGAAAACTGAGCACTCTGCCGATGTTCGCTGGTTCCTCCTGGTTCGACATGATGGTTGATCCGGAGCAATGAGTGGAGCTGCAGCTGCTCCACACAGGATTCACTTTATTATCATGAATGACATGTTAGAGTCTTTTCAATCACGTCCGCTCCCCGTCCTCTCTCAGTTTACAGGGAGCTGTGGGTTGCTTAGCAACTTCCCCCCCATCTGTGTGCGTTCATGTGATGTTGGAATAATCGGAAAGAATAGTTTCCCTACCAGGAAAATTCACGTGAATTCAGTCACAAGATGGAAAAATAAACATTTAATATAAACACTTAATCTACAATCTGAAAATAATGACTTCGTATCTCAAAATAACAATTTAATGTGAAATAATGAGGATGGTGGGACACCAACTCTCAAACTAAGGTCTCAGTTACTCAAACTAATGTCCCTGTATCTCAAAATAATGACTTTCTAACTTATAATATCATTGTTATAATAATATCATTTTGACTTAGAATATGTCTGTTTTTATTTCACTGAGCTTCCAAAGTACAACTCCAAAATTCAAAGACAATGTTGGTACTCAAACAAGAGATGTTACAATCATCTCCAAATAGCAGCTTCTAAAGTGAACTTGGCAGATTTTACACTTTTGTCACCAACCATATATGTGTATATGTGCATCCTTCACAAGCACCTAACACTAAACTTATATCTACTAATAGAGAAGCTTTGAATTATCTACATGCCTGTCACACCCTTTGCTATCATGCAAATAGGTTTGTTAATGTTTGTGATGATTGTATTTGTGTTCTGTATTTTGTAATCTGTTTCATTTTAATGTATTTCCACTGATGTTGATTCAGAAGTCTGGTGTAAAGGAAAACAACTGTGTTGATACGGAGCCCCTGAAGTCCAGAATGATGAAGTCTTTTCTTTTTATCTCACAAGATAGTGTGTTTTTTTAACATTCGGGCATCACATCACATGAACGAGCCTGAATCGGGACAACTCCACAAATCTGGAAATGGGACGTTCCGAGGAGCACGTGAACGCGCAGTGGTTACCAGCAGGTGGCGGTGTTGAGAAACAGCCTCAGGATGGACAGACTGCCCCCTGCTGGCTGCCTCCCTGTATGCCAGCCTCTCTCCTCGCTAACATAAAGATGTCGGTGCAGAAAACCCAGTGAAACACAGCGGAGTGTGATCGGCGTGTTTGAAACCTGCGACCTCGGTCGTCGAGCAGTGTTTTCTTACACACAGTCCTCAGGAGGGACCGTGAGAGAGTCTCCTGACCTCACTTCATCTAAACACGGATCTACCGCTGACACACAACACCTACAGACAAAGATCCACAGACACGCGTTAATATCATGACCCGAGGTTGAGTGTGAGGTGTTTTAGGGCTGATGGGAGAGTGTGTAGACCGGCACACACACACACACACACACACACACA